GAAAACAGTGTCTCTCTAGTTTCTTTTCTGATTTCTTACACTTTCCTCCTAACTCTGAGGTTACTTACTATCTTGATTTTTGAGTTTGTCATTTTCTCTCATTTACTTATAGCTTCACTACATGTTTGTATCCTTAAACAATACATTGTTTGGTTTACATGTTTTTCCACTCTCTACACAAAGAATCATACATTATACATTCTTCTACAACTTTACCCATGTTTTTGTGTATAAATCATTCACTTCACTGCAGCAAAATATTAATTCCTGTTGTGAATATACCATAATATATTTATTCGTCTTAACATTGGTGAATATTTCGTTTCTCAACATTTTTTTCTATCTTATATAGCCCTGCTTTGTGCATTCTTCTATGTATGTATGAGATTTTTTTTTTAAGAGCAGAGTTTTTAAACTGTGCCATGAATCTTTTTGGAAGTCTGGTTAAGCCTACTGGACTCTTTCTCAGAATACATTTTTAAGTGCACAAAATTATAGGACTACAAAAGAAACCAATTGAAACGCAGTTATAAAAATGCTAATACATTTGTAATATAGAAGTTGAACTGCAGTGGTGCACTTATACGAGGATATTTTTCAATAGCAAATACTACAATACTACATGCCCTGTGATTGGTTGAATCTGCAGATGGTGAGGAACTGCAGATATGGAGGGCCAGCTATAAGTTAAATGATTAACACCACCACCCCTGCATTGTTCAAGGGTCAGCTGTGGTGTTGGATTTCTTTATTAATGCATTAAATAACAAGATCTAGGGGTAGGTCCAATTACCTCCCTGATTTTGAAGTAATGATGAGTACAAAAGATATTTCTCTTTTTACCCAGTGATCTGCAATAATTGTAATGTGATATAAAAGAAGAAATTGACTTTTCTTAGCCTCTGCCATGAGAACAAGTGCAAGCTAGTCTGCTGAAGAATGAGAGACCTCATGGAGCAGAGACAGGTAGTCCCAGCTGAGATCATCACTCTGTTTCTTTTCCTTTAGTGGTCACACTACAAATTTTAACATATATACATAACTTATCAAGCTCTAGGTTTAATTGATGTATTTAGTCCTCTTCTGAAAAAAGAAATTTTAGAATATTTTTCTGCCAATTATACTTTTACCTGACATATATGATTTTGTTATAGTTCTATCTTACTTTTTAACCTCATAAGACATAATTTTTATTGTTTATTAAAGATTGTGATCTTGCTACTCTACCATCAAGAAGTGGAGTTTATTTACCCTCCCTTAGATTATGGGCTAGTGTTAGTGACTTACTTAACCATCATGTGGTAGCAGTAACATTCTGTGACAGATCAGCTTAGCTTTGAAAACGTCTTGAGTTTTCTTTTTTTTTTTTTTTTTGACCTCTTGACATATTCCCTTTCTTGCTGTTCCCTCTTGGGACGCTTCCTCTCAGCATCCAATTGCTGTGCTGTGAAAAGTTCATGACACGTGGAGAAGTTATATGCATTCTCCTTGAAAGAACCCTTTGAGTTGAACCAGTTCTGACAATAGATATATGAATGAAAAAGACTCCAGATGATTTCAGTCCCCAATTGTTCAAGTTATCCTAGCCATTCAAGTCTTTCCAGTTGAGGCTCCAGCTATCTCAGAGGAAAGCGAAGCCATACCTACTGTGCCTTGTCTGAATTCTTGTCCCACAGAATCCAAGAGTATAATAAAGTGGTAGTGATACTTTCTGTCTCCATGTTGGGATTTTTATGTATAATTTACAGCATGAACATCTTTTTATTCAATAATTTCTCTGGTATTCTACCACTTTACTTTTCTCATCTGTCATCCTTTTACTGAAGTATATTTGGCAGAATTTTCTTTAGTTAGGTTTACTCAATAGCAGATTTCTCTGTTTTGATTTTTTGAAAATATCATTATTTTACTTTTCTTTATCAAAATATATCTTTACCACTTATAGAATCCTAAGTTACCATGTGTTTTCCTTTAGCACATTGGATTTACTACTCCACTGTAATCTATCTTCCTTTCCACTCTTGAGAAGTAAAAATTATAGCTTCCAACATATCTCTTATTCCCTATTGTCTTTTGGTGCTCCAAATCTGGAAATTCTCTTGGGATGTGTCTTCTACTTTGTGGATTCTTTCCTCAGCTGAGTCAAATCTGATATCCTGTCCATGAGTTATTATTTTATATTATTATAGTTAACTATACAGATTATATTTTCCAACGTGCTTGATTAATTTTTATAGTTTTTACTCAATAACCACATTTTCAAAGCTTTAAAAAATTCTTTAAAATATCAAATATACAAAACATATTTTGAACCTGAGAATTCTAATATCGGAAGACATTGCAGGTTTGATTTGCTGTCTGTTGTTTCTGCTGACTCTTGGTCATAGTGTCTTTTTTTAAAATTTTTTTTAACATCTATATTGGAATATAATTGCTTCACAATGTTGAGTTAGTTTCTGTTGTATAACAAAGTGAATCAGCTATATGTATACATATATCCCCATAACCCCTCCCTCTTGCGTCTCCCTCCATCCCTCCCTATCCCAACCCTCTAGGTGGTCACAAAGCACCGAGCTGATCTCCCTGTGCTATGGAACTGCTTTCCACTAGCTATCTATTTCAAATTTGGTAGTGTATATATGTCAATGCCACTGTCTCACTTCGGCCCAGCTTACCCTTCCTACCCCCCCATGTCCTAAAGTCCATTCTCTACATCTGCGTCTTTATTCCTGTCCTGACCCTAGGCTCAACAGGACCATTTGTTTTTCAGATTCCACATATATGTGTTAGCATACGGTATTTCATTATCTCTTTCTGACTTACTTTACTCTGTATGACTCTAGGTCCCTCCACCTCACTACAAATAGTTCAATTTCATTTCTTTATATGGCTGAGTAATATTCCATTGTATATATGTGCCACAACTTCTTTATCCATTCATCTGTTGATGGACACTTAGGTTGTTTCCAAGTCCTGGCTATTGTAAATAGTGCTGCAATGAATATTGTGGTACATGTCCCTTTTTGAATTATGGATTTCTAAGGGTATATGCCTAGTAGTGGGATTGCTGGATCATATGGTACTTCTATTGTTATTTTCTTAAGGAAACTCCATACCATTCTCCATAGTGGCTGTATCAATTTACATTCCCTCCAACAGTGCAAGAGGGTTCCCTTTTCTACACACCCTCTCCAGCAATTATTGTTTCTAGATATTTTGATGAGGGCCATTCTGACTGGTGTGAGGTGATACCTCATTATAGTTTTGATTTGCATCTCTCTACTGATTAGTGATGTTGAGCATTCTTTCATGTGTTTGTTGGCAATCTGTATATCTTCTTTGCAGAAATATCTATTTAGGTCTTCTGCCCATTTTTGGATTGGGTTGCTTGCTTTTTGATATTGAGCTGCATGAGCTGCTTGTATATTTTGGAGATGAATCCTTTGTCAGTTGCTTTATTTAAAAATATTTTCTCCTATTCTGAGGGTTGTCTTTTCAACTTCTTTTCCAATTTGGATTCCTTTTATTTCTTTTTCTTCTCTGATTGCTGTGGCTAAAACTTCCAAAACTATGTTGAATAATACTAGAGACAGTGGGAACCCTTGTGTTGTTCCTGATCTTAGAGGAAATGGTTTCAGTTTTTCACCATTGAGAACGATGTTGGCTGTGCATTTGTCATATATGGCCTTTATTATGTTGAGGTAAATTCCCTCTATGCCTACTTTCTAGAGAGTTTTTATCATAGAGTGTTGAAAGATTTTGCTGTATCTATTGAGATTATCATATGGCTTTTATCCTTCAATTTGTTAGTATGGTGTATCACATTGATTGATTTGCATATATTGAAGACTCCTTACATTCCTGGTATAAACCCTACTTGATCATGGTGTATGATCCTTTTAATGTGCTGTTGGATTCTGTTTGCTAGTATTTTGCTGAGGATTTTTGCATGTATGTTCATCAGTGATATTGGCCTGTAATTTTCTTTTTTTGTGACACCTTTGTCTGGTTTTGGTATCAGGGGGATGGTGGCCTTATAGAATGAATTTGGGAGTGTTCCTCCCTCTGTTATATTTTGGAAGAGTTTGAGAAAGATAGGTGTTAGCTCTTCTCTGAATTTTTGATAGAATTCGCCTGTGAAGCCATCTGGTCCTGGGCTTTTATTTGTTGGAAGAATTTTAATCACAGTTTCAATTTCAGTGCTTGTGTTTGGTCTGTTTATATTTTCTATTTCTTCCTGGTTCAGTCTCAGAAGGTTGTGCTTTTGTAAGAATTTGTCCATTTCTTCCAGGTTGTCCATTTTTTTAGCATATAGCTGCTTGTAGTATGATCTTCTGATCCTTTGTATTTCTGCGGTGTCGGTTGTCACTTATCCTTTTTCATTTCTAATTCAGTTGATTTGAGTCTTCTCCCTTTTTTTCCTGATGAGCCTGGCTAATGGTTTATCAATTTTGTTTCTTTTCTCAAGGAACCAGCTTTTAGTTTTATTGATCTTTGCTATTGTTTCCTTCATTTCATTTTTATTTATTTCTGATCTGATCTTTATGATTTCTTTCCTTCTGCTAACTTTGGGTTTTCTTGTTCTTCTTTCTCTAATTGCTTTAGGTGTGAGGTTAGGTTGTTTGAGATTTTTATTGTTTCTTGAGGTAGGATTGTATTGCTATAAATTTCCCTCTCAGAACTGCTTTTGCTGTATCCATAGGTTTTTGGTCATCGTGTCTTCATTGTCATTTGTTTATAGGTATTTTTTGATTTCCTCTTTGATTTCTTCAGTAATCTCTTGGTTATTTAGTAGTGTATTGTTTAGCCTCCATGTGTTTGTATGTTTTACAGACTTTTTCCTGTAATTGATATCTAGTCTTGTAGCATTGTGGTCAGAAAAGATACTTGATGTGATTTCAATTTCCTAAATTTACCAAGGCTTGATTTGTAACCCAAGATAGGATCTATCCTGGAGAATGTTCCATGAGCACTTGAGAAGAAAATATATCCTGTTGTTTTTGGATGGAATGTCCTATAAATATCAATGAAGTCCATTTTGTTTAATGTGTCATTTAAAGCTTGTGTTTCCTTATTTATTTTCATTTTGGATGATCTGTCCATTGGTCAAAGTGGGGTGTTAAAGTCCCCTGCTATTATTGTGTTCCCTGTCGATTTCCCCTTTTATGGCTGTTAGCATTTGCCCTATATATTGTGGTGCTCCTATTTTGGGTGCATAGATATTTACCATTGTTATATCTTCTTCTTGGATTCATCCCTTGATCATTATATAGTGTCCTTCTTTGTCTCTTGTAATAGTCTTTATTTTAAAATCTTTTTTGTCTGATGTGAGAATTGCTACTCCAACTTTCCTTTGATTTCCATTTGCATGGAATATCTTTTTCCATCCCCTCACTTTCAGCCTGTATGTGTCCCTCGGTGTGAAGTGGGTCTCTTGTAGACAGCATATATATGGGTCTTGTTTTGTGTCCATTCACCAGTCTATTTCTTTTGGTTGGAGCATGTAATCCATTTATATTTAAGGTAGTTTCTATATGTATGTTCCTATTCCCATTTTCTTAATTGTTTTGAGTTTGTTATTGTAGGTCTTTTCCTTCTCTTGTGTTTCTGCCTAGAGAAGGTCCTTTAGCATTTGTTGTAAAGCTGGTTTGGTGGTGCTGAATTGTCTTACCTTTTGTTTGTCTGTAAAGATTTTAATTTCTTTGTCAAATATGAATGAGATCCTTTGCTGGGAGTAATCTTGGTTGTAGGTTTTTCCCTTTCATCACTTTAAATATGTCCTGCCACTCCCTTCTGGCTTGCAGAGTTTCTGCTGAAAGATCAGCTGTTAACCTTATGGGGATTCCCTTGTATATTATTTGTTGCTTTTCCCTTGCTGCTTTTAGTATTTTTTCTTTGTATTTAATTTTTGATATTTTGATTATTATGTCTTGGCATGTTTCTCCTTGGATTTATGCCACATGGGACTCTCTGTGCTTCTTGGAATTGATTGACTATTTCCTTTCCCACATTAAGGAAGTTTTTGACTATAATCTCTTCAAATATTTTGTCAGACCCTTTCTTTTTCTCTTCTTCTTCTGGGACCCATATAATTCAAATGTTGGTGCATTTAATATTGTCCCAGAAAGTAGCCGCATGGCACAGGGATATTGGCTCGGTGCTTTGTGACAGCCTGGAGGGGTGGGATGGGGAGGGTGGGAGGGAGGGAGACGCAACAGGGAAGACATATGGGAACATATGTTTATGTATGACTGATTCACTTTGTTATAAAGCAGAAACTAACACACCATTGTAAAGCAATTATACCCCAATAAAGATGTTAAAAAAAAAAATATTGTCCCAGAGGTCTCTGGGGCTGTCCTCTATTCTTTTCATTCTTTTTTCTTTATTCTGCTCTGCAGTAGTTATTTCCACTATTTTATCTTCCAGGTCATTTATCCATGCTTCTGCTTCAGTTATCGTCCATTGATTCCTTCTAGAAAATTTTTAGTTTCATTTATTGTGTTGTTCATCATTTTTTGTTTGTTCTTTAGTTCTTCTAGGTCCTTGTTAAACGTTTCTTTTATTTTCTGCATTCTATTTCCAAGATTTTGGATCATCATTACTATCATTACTCTGAATTCTTTTTCAGGTAGGTTGCCTATTTCCTCTTCAGTTGTTTGTTCTGGTTGCTTTTTACCTTGCTCCTTCATCTGCTGCATAGTTCTCTGTCTTCTCATTTTGTTTAACTTACTGTGTTTGGGTCTCCTTTACTCAGGCTGCAGGTTCATATTTCCTGTTGTTTTTGGTCTCTGCCCCCAGTGGGTGAGTTTCTTTCAGTGGCTTATGTAGGCTTCCTTGTGGAGGGGACTGGTGCCTGTGTTCTGGTGGGTGGGGCTAGATCTTGTCTTTCTGGTGGTCAGGGCCACGTCTGCTGGTATGTTTTGGGGTGTCTGTGAACTCAGTATAATTTTAGGCATCCTCTCTGCTAATGGTGTGGTTGTGTTCCTGTCTTGCTAGTTGATTGGCATGGGGCATCCAGCACTGGAGCTTGCTGGCCGTTTGGTAGAGCTGGGTCTTAGCATTGAGACAGAGATCACTGGGAGAGCTCTCACCAATTGATATTACATGGGGCTGGGAGTTCTCTGGTAGTCCAATGTCCTGAACTCGGCTCTTCCACCTCAGAGGTTCAGGCCTGACACCAGGCCAGAACAGCAAGACCCTGTCAGCCACATGGCTCAGAAGAAAAGGGAGAAAGAAAGAAAGAAAAAATATATATTATTAAAATAAAAAGAAGTAATAATAAAAAAGAAGAGAGAAATCAAACCAATAACCAAATCCACCAATGATAACAAGCCCTAAAAACTATACTATGGTAAACATAAAAATCAGAAGCAAATCAGTCACAGACAGCAAACCCTAAAAGTCTACAGTTGCTCCCAATATCCACCGCTTCAATTTTGGGATGATTCATTGTTCAGGTATTCCACAGATGCAGGGTACATGAAGTTGATTGTGGGGATTTAATCTGCTGCTCCTGAGGCTGCTGGGAGTAATTTCCCTTTCTCTTCTTTTTTCGCACATCTCCTGGGGTTCAACTTTTGTTTTGGCCCCACCTCTGCATGTAGGTCTCCCTCAGGCATCTGTTCCCACCCTGGCAGGACCGGGTTAAAGGAGTGGCTGATTAGGGGGCTCTGGTTCACTCATGCTGGGGAGAGGGAGGGGTAAGGTAGTTATAATTGGAATGCAGGGATTGCCTGTGGCAGCAGAGGCCAGTATGACATTGCAACAGCCTGAGCCGCACCATGTGTTCTCCCGGGGAACTTGTCCCTGGATCACAGGGCCCTGGCAGCAGCCTGTTGCACAGACTCCTGTGGGGTGTGTAGATAGTGACCTGTGCTTGCACACAGGATTCTTGGTGGCTGCAGCAGCAGCAGCATTAGTGTTTCATGCCCATCTCTGGAGCTCATTTAGGCAGTTATCTGCCTTCTGTGGGCAGACAGGGAAAGATTCCCCTCTCCTTGTGCACCCTGAAACAATGATCTCTTGCCTCTTCGGCAGGTCCAGACTTTTTCCCAGACTCCCGGCTAGCTGTGGCACAGTAGCCCCCTTCAGGCTGTGTTCACGCAGCCTACCCCAGTCCTGTCCCTGGGATCTGATCTCCGAAGCCCGAGCCTTCGCTCCCAGCCCCTACCTGCCCCAGCAGGTGAGCAGACAAGCTTCTCAGGCTGGTGAGTGCTGCTCAGCACCTATCCTCTATGTGGGAATCTCTCCGCTTTGCCCTCTGCACCCCTGTTGCTGCGCTCTCCTCTGTGTCTCCGAAGATTCCCCCTGCCACCTGCTGTCTCCACCAGTGAGGGGGCTTCCTAGTGTGTGGAAACTTTTCCTCCTTCATAGCTCCCTCCCAGAGGTACAGGTCACATCCCTATTCTTTTGTCTCTGGTTCTTTTTTCCTTTGCCCTAGCCAGGTACATGGGGAGTTTCTTGCCTTTTGGGAGGTCTGAGGTCTTCTGCCAGCGTTCAGTAGGTGTTCTGTAAGAGTTGCTCTGCATGTACATGTATTTTTGATGTATTGGTCGGGAGGAAGGTGATCTCTACATCTTATTCCTCTGCCATCTTGAATGTCCCCCCAGTCATAGTGTCTTGTTCTCATTTTTAGATTTTTGTGTTGCTTTATTTTGCATGTTTTGTGATATTAGTGATTTTTCCTTAGAAATGTATCCATTGTCATTTCTTGGGGCATGAATGAACATGGATTCCACCAGTTCATTTTTATGGATGCTTCTGATGGAATCATGCTTTGGTGAGCACTACCAGTTGTAGAGAACTTTAATTCTAGGAATGAATTGTTTTGGGACCAGCCAAGTAATGCAAATTCTGGATAAAAATCTACACATGGCCAGCTCATGGTTATAAATTCTAAGAGAAGTAATTTCCTCCTTCTACAGTATACTTCTCCTTGAAGATCACTGAGTTAAACAAGTTTATTTTTTCAATCTTCTCTCTCTCTCTTCTCTAGACTAGATTATTTTTAGTGATCTATCAAATTTACTGACTCCTCAAATATCTTTGACCTGTTGTTAAGCCTTTGTAGTGAAATTTTATTTCAGGTATTGGATTTTCAGGTTTTAGATTTTCCATTTGATTATTTTTAACAGTTTCTATTCTTGGTTAAGATTGCTTGTATTTTATACATTAATAGCATATTTTTATTTATGTACTTGAATATAGTTTTAATAGCTGTTTTAAAATCTTTCTCTGATAATTAAAATTTCTGGTTTTCTTGGTGTTAGTATTCTTTGATTACCTTTTCTTTTGAATGAGGGTCTTATTTTCCTATTTCTTCCTATGTCTAGTAAGGTTTTGTTATATCCTGTACTCTATGGTTGAAATATTTTAGAGATTCTTGATTTTATTTTCTTTCCACTGAAGGGTACTAATTTTTGTTTTTTATTGGGGGGGTAAAAATTTGATTTGTCTGAACTCAAAACCTAAATTCAGAAACATTATTTCAATTCTCCTAGCTTTAGCTTGGCTGCTTGAACTCGGTCCTGTGTATACATTGTTCAAAAGTCAGCCAGAGATTTAGGTTGACCTTGTACACAGAATTAGAGCTCCCTATCTATGGTTTTCTACTTTACGGAATTTCCTCCCTCACTTTTCAGCTGCTGTGATTGTCCCAGACTTTGTTTTCTGGTTAAGCCAGTAAAACTGTCAGGTTTCTATCTGCATTTTCGTCTTCTAGTACTAGGGACTTCTCTTCAGGCTAAAAGCAATACGAAATGTTATACTCATTGCTATTCCCTCCATCCAGCTGTCAACTCCCTCTATTATCTTTCTTCTTTGCTCACTTGCCAATGTCTTCAAGTCGTTTTTTTAAAATTTTTTTTTCTGGATTTTATAGTTTTTTTTTTTTTCAGGATGATTAATATATTCTATTCAGCCATTCCCAGAAGTACAATCTAGAGGTTAAATTTTAATATTCTTGGCTAGTTTATTTCTAATCCTCTGAGAATGGCTTTATTCCTTTGGGATTAATGCTTTATGTGGGGGTCTTATAACAGTCTTAATAATTTGAGTGGGCCCTGAGATTTGTGACATGTCTCTTAACTCCCATGAGGCCATGAAAACTGAAGTTCAAGTTCATCATATTTGGAAGATCCTCCTCATGTATAAGTTCATTTCCGTGCTTTGCTCATCTGTTTCAGTTTCCTACTTTCCTTAATTAAAAAAAAATATTGGAGTATAGTTGATTTACAATGTTGTGTTAGTTTTAGGTGTACAGCAAAATGAATCAGTTTTATACATACATATATCCACTCTTTTTTTAGATTATTTTCCCATATAGGCCATTACAGAGTATTGAGTAGAGTTTCCTGTGCTATACAGTAAGCCATTGTTGGTTATCTATTTTATATGTGGTAGTGTGTATATGTCAGTCCCAATCTCCCAGTTTATCCCTCCCCCACCTTTCACTCTTGGTAACCATAGTTTGTTTTTTAAGTCTGTGAGTCTATTTCTGTTTTGAAAATAAGTTCATTTGTACCATCTTTTTTT